CCCCGCCTCTTCACTGGTCGATACTAATTCACTCTCCCTGCTTCATGATCTTTGTCATACCTCTTCTTAAAGCTATTTATGGAACTTGCTTCCACTACTTCACTCTCCAGATTATTCCAATTCCTGACAACTCAAAGACTAAAGAAATACTTCCTAACATCCCTATGACTCATCTGGGTTTTCAGCTTCCAATTGTGTCCCCTTGTTTCTGTATCCCATCTCTGAAACATTCGATCCTTGTCCACCTTGTCAATGCCTCTCAGTATTTTATACGTTGATATCATGTCTCCTCTATCCCTCCTATCCTCTAGTGTCATCAGGTTGAGTTCCCTTAACCTCTCCTCGTAAGACATACCCCTCAGTTCTGGGACTAATGGTGTTGTAAATTTTTGCACTTTCTCCAATTTTGTGACGTGTTTGACTAAGTGAGGGTTCTATGCTGGCGCTGCATATTCCAGTATGCGCCTTACGTACACGGTGTACAGTGTCGTGAATGACTCCTTACTCAGATGTCTAAATGCCAATCTCAGGTTTGCCAATCTCCCATATGCTGCAGCAGTTATTTGATTGATGTGTGCCTCAGGGGACATGTTCGTTGTAATGTTTACCCCAAGATCCTTTTCTTTAACTAACGTTTGCAGCTGTTGGTTTCCTAACCTGTACTCCGTCTGCGGTCTTCTGTGTCCTTCCCCAATCTTCATGGCCTTAAACTTACTAGGGTTAAACTCCAGAAACCATTTGTCGGACCATACTTGTAGTTTGTCCAGATCCCCTTGTAATCTTAACTGATCCTCGAACACTTGTATTCTCATCATCAGTTTCTCATCATCAGCGAGCAGTGACACTTCTGAATCTATTCCTTCCACCATGTCATTCACGTATACAAGAAACAGCACTGGGCCTAGGACTGAACCTTGTGGAACCCCACTCGACACATGCGCCACTCCGACACTTCAGCACGTACCAACGCTCGTTGTTTCCTTCCTGTCAGGTATTCCCTGATCCATTGGAGTACTTTCCCCGTTATTCCTGCCTGCTCCTCTAATTTTTGCACCAGTCTCTTGTGTGGTACAGTGTCAAAAGCCTTCTTGCAGTCTAAAAAGATACAATCTACTCATCCCTCTCTCTTCTGTCTTACTTCTGTTACCTTATCGTAGAACTCAAGTAGATTTGTGACACGGGATTTCCCATCTCTGAAGCCGTGCTAATTGTCATGTATGAGCCCAATCTTTTCAATATGTTCCGCCACTCTTCTCCTGATAATCTTTTCCATGACTTTACATACTATACAAGTCAGTGACACTGGTCTGTAGTTTAATGCTGCCTGTCTGTCCCCTTTCTTATAAATTGGAACTATATGTGCTGTCCTCCACGCCTCAAGCAACTGCCCTGTTTCGATAGATTTACTGAAGATTGCTGCTAGCGGCACTCACAGTTCCTCTGCTCTCTCAGTATCCATGGAGATATGTTATCAGAGCCCACTGCCTTTGAGGTATCGAGTTCCTTTAGCAGTTTCTTCACCTCTACCTTAGTTATGTGTATTGTGTCCAGCACCTGCTGGTGCACCCTACCTCCACAGTTTGCTGGAAGCATTCCCGACTCTATTGTGAATACTTCTCTAAATCTTTTGTTTAGTTCATCACATACTTCCTGGTCACTCGTCGTGAGCTCCCCTCCTTCTTTCCTCAGCCTGATTACCTGGTCCTTGACTGTTGTTTTTCTCTTAATGTGACTGTATAATAACTTTGGTTCAGATTTGGCTTTTGATGCTATGTCGTTCTCGTATTGCCTCTGGGCCTCTCTCCTTATCCCTGCATATTCGTTTCTGGTTCTTCTGCTCAGCTCCTTGTTTTCTTGAGCCCTTTGCCTTCTATATCTTTTCCATGCTCTAGCACACTTGGCTTTGGCCTCTTTACACCTCCAATTAAACCATGGTCTCACTCTTGTCTTACCATTTTTTCTGTTGCCATTTGGTATGAACCTTTCCTCTGCCTCCCTGCACTTAGTGGTCACTATTTCCATTATTTCATTTACTGTCTTTCCATCTAGTTCTCTTTCCCACTCCACTTCATGCAAGAAACTTCTCATTCCTATGTAGTCCCCTTTTTTGAAGTTTGGTTTCTCTCTCTGTTCTCGTGCTGCTGCGTTCTCCACTTTTCACTCGACAAGATATTCAAAACTCAGGACATCATGATCACTAGCGCCAAGGGGTCTTTCGTGGGTGATATCCCCTATGTCTGAACTGTTCAAGGTGAATATGAGATCCAGCCTTGCTGCAACATCCTCTCCTCTACACTCTGGTTGCATTCCTAACATGTTGGTGCATGAAGTTCTCCAATACAGTCTCCAACATCTTAGCCCTCCATGTTTCTGGTCCCCCATGTGGCTCTAGGTTTTCCCAGTCATTCTGTGATTGAAATCCCCCTTTATAAGCAATTTTGTCCTACCCTTATGAGCCCTCCTGGCCACTTCAGCTAGTGTATCCACCATTGCCCTATTGCGCACATCATACTCTTCTCTTGTCCTCCTGCTGTTAAGTGGTGGATTATACATCACTGCTATCATCACCTTTGGACCCCCAGCCTGAAGTGTTCCTACAATGAAATCATCTGTTTACCTTCTTTCCATTCCTCCCATCTCCTCAAAACTCCACTGGTTTTTATGAGCAATGCTACTCCTCCCCCTCCTCTGTTCTCTCTGTCTTTCCTCATAATCTGATATCCAGGTGGAAAAATTGCATCTGTTCTCATCCATGTAAGTTTTGTGTCTGTTAGTGCTATGATGTCAGGTGATGCATCAATGATGCATTCTTGCCACTCTTCACTCTTATTTGTTATTCCATCTGCTTTGGTGTACCATACCTTTAGCTTCCTTTCCATTACTGTATTTTGGGAGATGGAAGAGGAAGGTGCAGGCTGGGAGGGTGGGAGGCAGGGCAGAATATTATGGGAGGCTGCTGTGATTGTGGAATTAGTGCTTAGCAGGGTGGTGGCTTTGGAGTGAGGTTCATTTCTGTTTACTGTGTTTGGCTGATATGTGGTGGCAGGGGTTGAGAGGTTTCTGTAAGCATTTGTGTTTGATGTTCCCCCAAAGGCTGAGCTTTCCTGTCTGTTGTTGCCTGTCCTGTCTCTCTTTCCTTCCACTGGTTTTGTCTTGCTTTCACTTTCAGTTGTTCCCTTTCCTTTCGTGTTCTGTCTCGATTGAGGAACACTTTTTGATAATCTGGAGAGTCGTTTAACAGTGGTTTATGTTGTAGTATCCTGTTCCGTACCACATCTGTCTTGAATGTCAATTTGATTGGTCGATTTATTTCCCTCAAATACTCCCCAAGTCTGTGAAATTTTTCTACCTGAGACATGTCCCTCTCTCCTGTTATTGCAATGATGTTCTTAATCTCTGTTTTCTCCCAATGCTTTCTTTCATCATAAGTCTGCCCTTCAGCCTCCTGAAGCCCATGAATAATTATTGACCTCTCCCTCTCCTCTTCCCATTTCTTTTCCCTCTGTATCTCTGGATCTGATTTAAGCATCTCCTTTGCTGTTTTCCTAATCATCTCCCAGACACCATGATGGCCTGACATTACTGCTGCAAAAGACTGCTTAGCTCCATCCCCTGATGAGAACATCAGCTGCCTGCCGATGTTCCCATTTCAGTCATCCTGCTCCTTTCAGACCTCATCTTTAGATCCTTCTTCAGCACATCCATTTCTTCCTCCAGTCTCTGTATCTTTGCCTCAGCTACTACAGCTCATGATTACCACTTCTTGCTCTCTGCAGATATTTGCTCTAGCATGTTATTGCAAAGCTCGTTTAACCTTTTCTCCCATTATTGTTCCACTTCTTGAGCTGTTCTACCCATTCTTCCTTTTCCGACCAGCCATCATCGGTTAACTGGCCTTTACGTCCTCCCTTTTGAGATCCCATTTTGTTTTTGTCCTGTTGGGATGTTTTAGCTGCTTCAGCCTATCTTAAAAATGTGTGTGTGGTGGGGGGATTTATGAGCTAATGTGTTATGTTTGTCTATGTGTATACGTGTGTGTTTGTGTGTGTATTATATATAATATATATATATATATATATATATATATATATATATATATATATATATATATATATATATATATATATAATGTGTCGTGCCGAATATGTAAAACTGGTCAATTAACAAGAACTCATATAAAATTAAGTCCTTTCTAAAATTTTATCTTATACGTTTAAAGATATATATTTTTTCATTAATGTTGATGTAAAATTTATAATTTTGCACCAAAAGGAACTTAGAAAACTTACCTAACCTTATTGTAACAAGCGCAATTTAATTTAGCTTAACCCAAGTAAATATATTTTAGATTTGTTTACAGTAATTTAATACCAAACAAACACAGTGAAATATATTTTTTTGGTTAGGTTCAGATTGATTTTGGCGAAATTATTGCATACGCAAGATGAGCGTTGCTATTTAAGCCAAGATCGCAAGTTCTGCCTATTCGGCACGATATATATATATATATATATATATATATATATATATATATATATATATATATATATATATATATATATATATATATATATATATATGCGTGTGTGTGTGTAGCGCGCGCGTGTGTTTTTTGTGCAAGTTGCAGGGGTAGGATGATTCCCAGCTTGCTACCTAGTAACTGGCTGTTAACGAACCTGTTGCTAAAAAATTATCTAAATGTTTCATTGTTTAGAAAGGAACGTAGAATTAGTCTCGACTGAGAGCAATAAAAACCACGAACATATACACCATTTAAAAGTTGATATTAGTGTGGGCCTTTTTTGTAATATGTTGATTTTGATATGATTCACAAAGCAGAATTAAAAGGTAGATTAAATTATAACTTCGTTATTACTGTTGTGTATAAGTTTGAGTAACTATCAATATCGTGTTGGGCTGTTGTGAAGTTTATACCTGCGGGATTTTTTTGCTCCGTGTAAATTAAAGACAGAATTTTAATGAATGCTTCTTGTGTTCAGTGGTTGCTGACAACGAGTGTCTGGCTGAGTGGTACCACCAGGGAGTGTTCATCAGGAGCCAGTGGACGTGTTGCAAGGGTGGCAAGGACGTCACTGCTTGCACTGCCGTCACCTGGACCATCAACCACAACAACAATCCACCAGGTGAGTGTCATACCACCAACAACCACAATAACAACCCACCAGGTGGGTAACTTTACCACCATTATCAACTGCAACAGCAACCTACCAGTTGAGGGTCACACTACCACAACCACCACGGTTACCAACCAGAACAACCCACCAGGTAAGTTCCCCCACCACCACTGCCACCAACTACAACAACCATTCAATCCGTGGATATAGCAGATAGAGTTGTTGGGTTGAGACCTTGGAATATTTAGCCAAATCATGTATTTTTCTACATTGGAATTAATAAGTGTTAATTGAGCTTCATGGTCCCACATTTGTTACTGCAGACCAAACCAAACACACACGCACACACACACACACACACACACACACACACACACACACACACACACACACACACACACACACACGCAAACACACACACACACAGGGGAGACAGAAACAAGGAGTCACTCTTGGAAGTTGAAGACTCAGGTGAGTCACAGGGATGTTAGGAAGTATTTTTTCAGTCATAGAGTGGTCAGGAAGTGGAATAATCTGGCGAATGATGTAGTGGAGGCAGGAATCATACATAGCTTTAAGACGAGGTATGGTAAAGCTCATGAAGCAGGGAGAGAGAGGACCTAGTAGCGTTCAGTGAAGAGGCGGGGCCAGGAGCTGAGTCTCGACCCCTGCACCCACAATTAGGTGAGTATACTCTCTCTCTCTCTCTCTCTCTGTCTCTCTCTCTCTGTCACTCTCTCTCTCCCCCTCTCTAAGTACACGCCTTCAAGAATATATAAACATGTACGATAACAGGTAAATCTTGCCATTACTACTTAAATCTAGTATACATTAAATACATTGTTCATGTGTATGTGTAAACTATACACGCTCATGTGAATTTCCTTTTGGTTTCTGTATTAGACTAAAAGTGCCTGCTGTGCAGGCGAAACATTTCTTCAATAAAGATACCCAGATATTTTTATTGATACCTGGGTATCCTTGTAGTGTTTCATTTCCATGGAATCACGGGTTAGAATCCTTTCTCTATTATCAATGCGTGTCGTAAAAAAAGCGAATAAAATGAGGTAGTTGGGGCCAGTAACCCCTTCTTCCGTATTAGTTACTAAAGCAAGAAGGATGGAAGTTTTAAGGTTGAATTGTTTGACTATGCGAGTGTGTAGTACAGATGATGATAAAAAATCAGTTGTTTTTGTTATGAATGAAAGAAACTGTATGTATTTGCACTACGCAAAACAAAACGAAATGGGAGAATTTCAGTAAGGAGTATATGGGATTAAATCGGATGTATCTGAGAGAACTAGAGTTAAAAAAGATGTGGCAGTAATATTAAATAATTAGCTAGGGGAAAGAAGGATGGTAAAAATTATTTAATTTAAGAAATACGTGGCTTTTAATAAAGGTGGGATGCAAGTAGTTGGTTATATTACATATTTACGCTGTTGGAGATGGAGCATTTTCTTGGGTAACCCGGCCTTAGATATCTTGTTTGGGGGCTTCTGTTTGAGACACTTTAAATAGAAGAATGTAGCAAGGATTCTAATAGCAAGGTGAGTCCCTGGAACTAGTTTGTGGGAACAGTCTCACACATCAGAGTTGTTGAATCTCTAATGAATTCGCCGTAAGCCAGCTTATTGCAGAACCGACCAGACTGGGCAGTACCCTAAACGAAGAGGTCCTGATCCAGGACATAATGGGTTGAAGACTGCCATCTTGGATCACAACATAGTCGACGTTCAGACCTGTGGTCATCGTGGCCTGAGTAGGAGAAATATGATCAATTATGGTGGGAAGACGATAGACCTCTGGGGATCTAAACTAGTTCCTCGGGACTGTGGTGCTCAAAGTATGCTCCAGACACATATTTCTGCGACAAAGGAGAAGATGCAAACTTGAGAAGCAGGGCTCCATCGAAAGGAAAAGACGACGGATAACAGCTCCAAGGAATCAGACTTTCTGAAGCATGAAAGAAAACACTGGTTAGGGAAAATGTGAATGGTAATTCAACGCCTCAGAGTTTCGGAAACGGGTCATTTTATTTTTATGAAAACATTAAAATATAACACGAATATATAACCAAGTGGAAAATTAAACTCAAAAGGTTTATAAAGTTTACTCATATATAAAACAACATGACATATTACCTAACTGAATCAGGGAGTGAAAAAAGTAAAACATATAATGAAAATGAATGAAAGCTAAGATATACATAATCATCTTCAAGGGAGTCTCCTTGAAGCGGTGAAGAGGCTTTTGATCAGAGGAATTGGACCTTTCCGTCTTCTTACCCCGACCGAACCTAATTACTCACATTCCTCCCTTCTCTGCCCCGTCCTTCCCATCCCTCCCTTCCCTGCTCCATCCCTTCTCTACCATTCCTCCTCTCCCATTCCTCCCTGCTCCATCCTTCCCATTCCTTCTTTTCCCATCCCCCATCCCTCCTTCCTTTCCTGCTTTCGGTTTTTGAGGTCTTCTCTATAATTCTAGCTCCTACGTTGGGGAAAGGGTGTCGTCTGTCCCATTCCGTTGAGGTCCTTAGTGGTGATGTAGTTTGCCATGGAATCTGGATCATCTGGGGATGTCCTGACATCCCTCCAGAGCTTCGAGGAGGAGGCTTACAATGTCCTTCGGGTGACGGGGCTGCCTGTCGGTTCCGGGAGGTGGTGGCGGAAGATATGCCTTGTGGCAGGTTTCCGACCACCCTATCTTTTGTCCACCGAGGTGGCTCGGTAGATGTGAGGTTGCTATCCTATATTGCTGGTATACTGGCATGAAGAGTAGGGTAGGGCACGAGTTCCACGAAGCATCTGCACTATTGGCCGCACTGAGGGCCCTCTTGGGCACGGAGGGGAATATATGATCCCTTTCATTCACTCCATGGACCCATTTTTTCTTTTTCTCAAAAATATTAAAAAGGGAAAGCTTATCATGGAGACCCATACCCATAACCTGCCTCCTCCCAGACCCTTTCCTACAACAACATCTGCAAACCCTGGCATGCCTTTGGACCTCTTTTCCAACTGGTACCTTCTACAGGTAATGTTTGGACCTTCAGACACAGCTAACCGACGTCTGCGCAGCTTGAACTATGATCCCGGCTACATACACAGTGCAATGATTTTCAGATCGTACACACGACTCAGGACCGCCGGCATCTAGCCTTCTGTCCAATGACCTCGACCTCAATTTCCTCTCACACTTCCAAGAAACGTCCAGCTTATACTCTATGGACAAAATTCTTTATGCTCCAGCCAGCTTCTGCTAATGACTGTTTCCGACCACAGCGTCAACAAGGTACTTCTTCGCCATGTTGGGCGGAACATTTCCTTCCTTGTTCTTAAGAATGGCATACACATTGTCTCAGTATAAAAAGCAGAGCAAGTATTGACATTGTTGACAACACACCAGTTACGATTCGCACACACATACTCTTTAATTCTTGCTTTGGCTCTATTATCCTTCCACATACGATCGTACAACGCAACTTTCTCATGTGCAATGAAGACATTCTGAAGCAACTCAAGCTCCAGAATCTCCCGATCATTAAAGCTGATACATACTTCCTGCCCGCGGGCAGAGGTGCTACCCTTGCAATATAGCCAGACTAATTTTTGACAGCCGTGAATTGCCACCATCTGTTTACGTAGCGGGACAATGACTACAAGTTTGGGAAGTGATCCCTACCCACAGCAATGTAGAAAATGCTTGTGCTTATGCCACCTGGCAAAATGTTGCAGGTCAGTGGCAGAATGCCCTGTCTGTGGTGCAGCTGATCATAGCAGTCCATCCTGCAGCCACCTTCCCTCTTACCTTAACTGCAAAGAGGTACACCTTGCCTATTCTCGCCTTCGCCCGATATTCTTAAGAGAAAGGGAGATATGTTATCTTAAAGAGAAAGAGGGCATCTCTTTCGCCATGGCAGTTTGCCATCTCTGCCTCCAAGACTCCCACAGTTCTTTTATTCCAGGGTCGCTAGATGGCCCCAGACCTCTGTGGAGCCTGCTTCCACAATTGCCTGTCCCTTCTGCAGTCAACTCTGTGCCCAACCCTTTTGTGGTCCTGAGCTCTGAGACTCCAATCTCATCTGTAACTGTCCCTATCTCTTCACCTTCCCACTCACATGTTTCAACGTCTCTGCGCCCCTTCCTCACTAAATCGACACCACATATCTCTATTCCAGAGTTGACTGATACCTTCATTTATATCCAAATCTCAGTCATCCTCTAAACCACATGACATTTCCAGATGTTATTTTTTTCCCTGTCTCTGAGTCTAGGGCTTTACCTCGAGATGCACCTGATATTGTTGTGGAGGTTCGTCCACCCCAAGTACAATTGCTCCCTCGCCTGTTTCTCCGGAAAATTTTCCTACCAAGACACCTCTACCCCTTCTTTGGTGTCTTTCGTTGTGTCTCCACTTTTTACCCAAACTACATGTTCTCCCTCCGCCATCATGCTCTCTCCCTTCTCTCTCATCTGAAACTATTGAAGCCATCTCTGCGTTTATCGAGGAGACAACACCCCCTTCCACTTCACATTCTCACTTTCCGCTCTCTTCTTCACGCTGTCTTTCTTCATGCGATCCCAATATTTCACTCCTTACTAGTTTCCCAGTGCATATGCATGTTGACTTTATTGACCCTCCTGGTCCGTAAACAACTGTAAAATGTTACTGTTAAGTTCTTTCATCCAATCATGGCTTATTTACAGTGGAATATTCGAGCCCCCAGGGATAATAGGGGAGAGCTTCAGGTGTTGCTCTCCCAGTTTTTCCCACGTTTGTGTCTATTTGCAAGAACCAGAATTGCACTCCGCGGTTTTCCGTCTCATCTCATGCTATATTTTATTATATTCGCTGGATCCGTTTCACGATGGGACTCTTAATGAAAGTGCACTTCTCTTGCGCCACATTATACTGCATTCTCAGGTCCTTATCCATACTTTGCTGCATTACAATGCAGCTCGCATCTACTTCGACAAGTGGTTTGCAGCTGCTCTTTATATCTTACTCTCTCTTGGTCATTATCTATTCCTGATGTGGCATCTCTGATTTCTTCCCTAACTCCTCTCTTCTTACTAGGAGATATTTAATGCTCTTCATTTCCTAT